GTCCTTCTCCTCAGGGCTGCTTGAGATGTAACTCTGTCTTATGGTGTCCATGCACGTTCCTGTGAAACATGGAATAATTTGGATGGGAGAGACCTTAAAGATCATCTAGTCCAACCTGCCTGCAGTGAGCTGGGACATCTTCAGCTAGATCAGGTTGCTCAGAGCCCTGTCCAACCTGACCTTGAATGTTTCCAGGGATGGGTCATCTAGCACCCCTCTGGGCAACCTGTTTCAGTGCTTTGCCACCCTCATTGTTAAAAACTTTCTTCCTTATATCTAGCCTAAATCTACTCTTTTAGTTTAAAACCATTATCCCATGTCCTGTTGCAACAGGCCCTGCTAAAAAGTTTGTCTCCCCCACTCTCAAAAGCTGCCTTTAAGTACTGGAAGATGCTATAAGGTCTCCCTAGAGCCTTCCCTTCTCCAGGCTGAACAAGCTCAACTCTCTCAGCCTGTCCCCATAGCAGAGGTGCTTCAGTCCTCCGATCATCTTTGCGACCTCCTCTGGACTTGCTCCGAATGGTTGATATCCTTCTTATTTTGGGTGCTCCAGAGCTGGATGCAGTAGTGCAGGTGGGGTCCCACAGAAGCCGAGCAGAGGGGGACAATCATTCCCTCGACCTGCTGGCAACCCTTCTTTCTACAGAGCCCAGGATATGGTTAGCACTGTGGGCTGTGAGCACATGTTGCTGACCGGTGTCCAGCTCTTCATCTGGTAATACCTCCAAATTCTTTTTAGCAGGGCTGGTATCAGTGCCTTCACCCCTCAGTCTGTGTTGATACTGGGGCTTGCCCTGATTCAGTTGCAGGACCCTGCACTTGGCACTCAACCTCATAAGGTTCACATGGGCCCATATTTTGAGCTTGTCCAGGCCCCTCTGGATGGCATCCTGTCCCTCAGACATGTCAGCCACTCTACTGGGCTTGGTGTTGTCTCTGAACTTGCTGAGGGTGCACTTGATCCCATTGCCAGTTATAAAGTGTATTCTATAGCAGGTAGTAAGTAGAGAGAGAGCTTTGACTTATAAAGGTGGTTACATATCTCCTGAATTGTTTTACATCATAATTTTTGTCATGCTGAAGAGACTCATGAGGGAAAGAAAGTTTGCTACGTGAGACTTCTGGCATGCTGGTTTGTGGGAAGTAATTTGCATAATGATTCATCAGGAGGCCAGAAAAAACCAAAAACTCTCTCATTATATTCAGCCGTTAGTAGACATGCCAGGCTTATTGCTATTTAAAGGAGTCTGTGTCTTGATCTTTATAATCTAAACTGAAGAGCCTTGAACCTGAAAAATGAACTAAAGCTTAAAAACAAACAAACAGAAAAGGTCAGAAATGAAAGCTGGGAACATTTCTAGCCCATGACTCCCAAATCAGTGAAATTTTTAAGTTAAAAATTTCGGTAGCATTTCGTTTTTTAACTCTCATGTATATTTGTGCGTACGCATGCAAGCACGCACACAAACTTATTTGAGCAAGTACACTATGTTGAAATGCTCCTATAGAGAGAAGAAAAAAACAAAACAAAACCAAACCCCAAACGTTTGCAGGAGAAGAATTCAGTCCGTTTATAACCAATTTAGACACGTGCATCGTTTTACTGAATACTGATAATATAACTGGTCTCAAAATCAGTACTGAGGCAGCCTTACGAAATATCTATCAAGTTTTGTAAAACTGGGATGCATTGTCTTACTCTGGAGGTATCTTTTTCTCTTACTTCAGCTTTGTGCCATGCAAACAGTAGCAACTTCTCTGTATTACATGCATCTTACCAAAACCAACATTTGTATCTATATCTTTATTTTTTAATCTCTGGCTCAGTATTACTCAAATGGTTTGTAATGCAGAAAGGGGGTGTGTTTGCAATGAATTAGTTTTACTTTTGAAAGGAGGGCTGTAAATCTGTTTAGAAGGGTCTGAGTGATCAGGGGTCCCTGCAGTGATGTCTTGTCAGGGAGTTGGGTCACAGCAGATGGGTGAAGTGGTCTTCAGTGATGTTTAGCCACCAAATCTTTGTCAGACTTGTCCATGTAATCTGAAACTAGTTTGTTGCTTTGTCTTATCAGATGAAAGAGGATATTTAATTTGTAAACTTCCTTACAATAAAGGAGGTAAAATGGGATCTGCTGCAGCTATTGTAGTACATGCTCATTGTCTCAGAATACTGGCATTCTTACTTCTGAAGTACCTGCATACTTTGATGTACCACCTACTTTCAGCAATTTCTAACCAGTGTAGTGATTATTCATTCTAAACATTAAAAATTGGCATAGTTTTTCCTGAACATGAGTGAAAATAATAATGCCTAATGAATTGTCAGCATTTTGAAATATGGTGTGCTTCCAAAAAAACCCCCAAACCATTGAAGCACAATAAGCAAATCTTTCAAGGACTGTTAAGAGTTGAATAAAATGAGTATGTGAATTAATTGTATAATTTAAAATGTGTTAACTTTAATTTTATGTAGTAGCCTTTTCTTGATGCTTTATAACATTTTGCTTCTAGGTCAGCATGATGGACCTCTACCACGGCAGCATGCTGGGTTGCTTCCAGAGTCTTTGATATGGGCATATATTGTGCAGCTCAGCTCTGCGTTACGGACCATTCATACAGCAGGACTGGCATGCAGAGTTATGGATCCTACGAAGATTCTAGTAACAGGCAAAACCAGGTAATGAAAGTGTTCATGCTTACTGTGCACTGTTCATGGTAGCTGCTGAGCATGTACCTGTTATGGATAATGAAGTCTAGTGAGAAAGTTCTGTTATTCTTAACTGGTGTGAGACTGAAAATGAATACATGTGAAAACTTGTGTGGTTTTTTTTTTTAACTACTTTTAAAACATATTTTGGGAAGACTTACGCATTATCCTTGAAGTACTGCTGAAGTTCCACCACTGACAACTTAAAAGTTGGTTGATTTATTTGTAAACTGAGAACTGTTGCATTTTTTCAAGTAGTAAAGTTAGTATTTTTTGCTTCGTAGTAATTTGCTGACTACTAGTGATTTTTTTGTCATATCAAAGCACTCAATTAATTAACCAACACAATTTAATGACACTTCTTTTTCTCGTTCCTAAAGGTTGCGAGTTAATTGTGTTGGAATCTTTGACGTTCTGACATTTGACAACAGTCAAAATAATCCACTGGCATTAATGGCTCAGTTTCAGGTAAGACAACACTGCCATAGTTGGCTTGGTGACTTGGCACAGGGATTACTGAAAACCACTGGGATTCCTTTTGGAAGACAAGTATTTTAATTAAACTGTAGTCCAGTATATCTATCTCTAACTGTATTTTTTCATTCCTAATTTGATCTTGGTTCTGCCATGCATTATTTGAATGTGCTTGTAATTTAGAAATGTTAATGCTCATTTTGCTCTCTTGCTTCTAAAATTTCAGCAAAATCACCAAACAGGTTGGACTGTTACATACTAACAAGCTTAAGTCAGAAATAGTTGTAAATATGAATTTCTAAAGGAAGGAGTAGAAAAATCTTATATTTAGTGTTAGAGATTAGAACATAATGGTTCAGTAACAATTTTGGCTCTGTTTTCTCTTGTTATTTTAACAAAAATAATTGAGTGTTGAATACCTGTTCACAGTGGAGTAAGATCTTCTAAATAACTACACTTAGGCCTTCTCCTCACTCCTAAAAGGTTCTAGTCTATCTTTATTTTAGGCTCCTAGCTTTTCCGTGCTCTCCTGGTGTTCTCTGAAGTGTGGACTCTGCATAATTCCTGAATAAGAAGAATCCCTTTAGACTTAACAAAAACTGTTCCACTGTCATCTGGAGCATCACTGTGTACAGGAGTGACTCTTTCCTTAACTTCCCCTCAGGGTAAAGTACATTGCTTCAGCAGTCATCACATACCCTGTCAGTACTGGGAGTGAAAGACTACAGTAGGGAGTTGGGTTTAATTTATTTTCATTAATTGAGCTTATTCACTGTGAGAAAATTGCATTCAGAGTCTTCCCGTAATAAATGAAATGTTTAAACCTTGGCCAGGCGGAAACTCACTTATTGGAGACCATGTCCTAGAACATAGCAAATTTTTTTTTTTTGAATGATCCAGTAAAGCAATTTTCAGAGTACTTTGAGTACATCAAAGGGTTTTGCTTCTGCCCAGCTATATATCAATGGGCTTTTGGTAATCGTTTAGTGGCAAACAGTTGAGAGAAGATAGGAATACATGCAAGTGAGGGATTCCATGCCTAAAAATGTAATGAGAACTTTTCTTAACCTAAATGCTGCTTTAAACTTAATTGCAGCTGGGAGAAAGATCCTCCTGAGATATTAAGACATTCCAGTAATTTTAGAGCAAGATGTTTAATGTACTTTGAGGTATGAATCTAAAAATACTTGTAGGTACAAGAATCTGTCAAAAGCATTTACCACTGTAGCAGCCTAACACTTGGCAACTAACTTGCTTGGTAATGCCCGGTTTTGTTCAGGGGGAATGTTTTTGCATGTTTTATACATTGTTAGTATCTAAATTGTTCAGATATTGCTGCTAAGCCAGGAGAGAACTACTCTTATGTAGTTTGGAAGATCTGAACTGGACTTAGAAAATACAGTATTACTTTCTTTTTTGGCACTTCCTCTAGAAGGGCTATCCACTTTGTTCCTTCAGAGATTCTGGGCTGAGTTTATTCCTTGAAATTCAGGAGTCATTTGTCATTCTCTACCTTTGTTTGCCCTAGACAGATAAAATCACAAAATAACAGCTCCTGCTTGTCCGTTTTCCTCTCGATCCATGGCCCAGTTCCTGAATTCCTCTGGGATTCCTGTGACTGTTAAAAATGTAGGTTATCTCTTGGTTTACTGCCCAGCTAATATGCATTTCCTTGTTGTTGTCTTGAATGGAGGAAGGTATTTTTGTTAGGATTTGTCACTTTCTAGCTATTTCCCATCGTTAATATAGATAGTAAAGAATTTGGCCAGGACAGTGAGGGGCTATGTAAAAAGGAATGCAATTGTTCTTGACAAGCTGTGTTAAACACATTAATTTATATGATCATTTCAGAATTAAATAAAGCAACAATAAGGGTAGCTGAAAATAAATAAATGAAATGTGAATGGCTGCTTACATTAAAAACAAGATGTTAAGCCTATATAAATTCCAGCACATCATTTCCCACCCCTGATTCTTAAGTCTTTTGTCAATCAGTTACGAGATACAGATGGGAAAACCTGAAATGGTGATGTAGGAAATAGTAGAAAGGTTTAATAAATATTTGGAATATTTATTATTGGAATTTGGAATAAAATGAAGGTGACTCTTCCCTACGAAAGGAAGAGAAAACATAAGTCTTGTTGCTTTTGTGAGGGCTGTAAGGTTACATTTGCTCAAAGTAAATAGTTTTAATTTAGCAAACCAAAATAACTTTCACATAAACCTCCCAAATTTAAAGAAACTATCTAAAGAGGCATCTGAAGTATTATTGTTGACTTTAAAAAAAAAAGTAATAAAAAATGTAGGAACTTGGAGGTACATCTAAGTGCAATTCCAGAACTTGGAAGTGAATCCACAGAATTGTAGAGTGGATGACCTGGTATTGATCCAAGCAAAAGTGTGGAACAGGATAAACAAAAAAGTTGTCAGTTTCAAGGGGTTTATGGAAAATGTATCTTGTTTAAAAAAAAAAAAAAAATTTGACTAGCTTACATGTCTGGCTGATAAAGCCAAGTGTATAAAATGCTGAGGTATCTCCAGGGTATTTGGCATACTAGCACATGCCTTTTTAATATTAAAAAAAATGGTGCAGAAGGGAAAGGTTACCTATTCAATTAACTTCTAAATTGCTCACTCACTGACATATTTGAAATTTATTTGATAACAGAGAGGCGTTAATGAAGAGGGCTGCTCCTGAGTTTATCTCCTAGGGGCTGGTTTTTAGTCTAATGCTATTTAATGTTTCTATCAATAAACCAAGTGATTGTGATAAAATCTTTACTAGCAAAGCTTTCAGGAGATAAAAAGCTAGTTTGGTACAGGTTACAGTTATAAATTGAATTGCTAATTAAATGGCTGTTAGTTGCATGCAAGGTACACTTTTGAACAAAAGGCAGCCAGTGTTTAAGCTTTGAAGTTGAGAATCAATTTAGTATGACTTAATGGTCACTGTTGGTAGTCACCATAGCAAAAGTCTCCTGTCAAGTCTGTGCCATAAGGAACTGATGTGATCCATAGGTATGTGCAAAGCATGGTATAGAGTGTAACCAGGGTAATGATCGTACCCAGCGTTGATCTGTACCTTGCTCTAGTAAGGATACGAGGGGGATACAGCCTTTTCTTTCTGGTGTCCCAGCTCCAAGGAGGTCTAGTAGTTCTTGTGTGCCACCTTTAACCTTTCTCTGCCCAGAGGCAGGAAGAGCTGAACCTCCTGACGTTTTCAGAAGGGAGGTTAGGGCATAATAGGCATCTGTGGACTGCTTTCGTATGGAAAGGATGCTGTATCCTAGCACTGGGAAGCTGTGTGTCTTGTCTGCGTGGACAGAGCTGGTCAGTGCACGGTAGTTTTGGCCCGTCTAAAAGGCAAATCTGACTTCCATAAATCCTGATCTTTATGGATCCCTTCCAACTCAAGATGTGTGATTGCTCTATTGCACAGGAAAATTACTGCCTGTCCTTGTGCACTTGTAAAACTCCAAATGTTGGGCATTGTAACAACACTTTCTTTCAGGGTTTCAGCTGTCAGTGAATAGCGAGGCACCTCCCTCAGTCTGAATTGTTTTGCAGAATTACAGATATCTTAAATTGTTCAGACTCTCAACTGAATCGCTTGAAGTTCAAGTTCCTAAAATCAGTGGGATGAGTCAAAGCCACTTTTGCAACTAAAACAAGTTAAGCATTGACTGTAATTTGAAATGTGTGTCTGAGGCTGCATTGGTGTATTGCATTATCTCTGCCAGTTTTTCTATTAGATATAATTGGCAAAAAAACCCCAAAACCCAAGGCTATGAGTCAAATGCTCAAAAAAAAGAAAAGCTTGAATTTAGAATTTCCTGGCTGATGTTAATGTAAGACTCCTTCTCAACCATTTTTAAAATCTAGTGCCATCTGTATTATGAAAACACCTGTGTAAAGGAAGACTGCATTTTTATAGGGTCTGGCCTGAAGTTGTATATTTACAGTGTCTCAGGGTTGTGTGATGATAGAGAATTTATATAGGATACATCCTTATGAATTACTTAAAGTTGGAAGATACTAAGTGTAAAGTAGAGGACTGCTGAAGGAAGAAAGGTTGTGGTGAATACAAATGCTTACATGTTTCTTCTAAGTCTTCTAGTGGAAAAAAAACCCTTAAAGCCACTGTATCAGGCGACGTATATCTCTATAGATGCTGCATCAGCAGGATTCCTCTGTTCAGTAATACAGCAGCATCCTCTGCTGCTCAAACTGGCCGTTTGGTAGTGAAGCGAGTGGGTTCCCACAAAAACGGGGTTTACTCTGGTTCATTTCTCTTTATCAAAGTACAAAGGTGCTGATACTCGTTAATTCCTGGTTCCTTAGGAAACAGAGTCTAGCATATGCCAGTCCCTTCTCCTTCTCCACTGCTTTGTCCTTATTTCTGTCTTACTTTCTACATCCTGTTTCTCTCTTCATTAGCTACAGGAGTACATGCTTGCTAACTTCTGCCATGTTGCATATCCATGTTTAAATTGTGCTGCTTAATCATACTTGATATGGAAGCAGCAGGGAGAGTGAAAGACCTGGAATGTTTTCTTTATCTGTCCCTCAACACCTGGGAGGTGTGGCTGCAGGGAAAGCTCTGCTCAGCTACTGCAGCCAGAGGCAGCAACATGGTTACCCCTTTGGGTGGAAGAGCTGTGTGGGGCTGTGACACATTCACCATCACAGCAGTTTTCTAAACCTGCCAAATTCTAAATACAACTTCTAATGTTGTGATGCTGCCAAATTTTCGGCCTTTCTTACAGAAATGACAGAAGATATGTTCCTTGTATGACTGGGTTCTCTGCTGAATGGCATAGCCTTGCTCTAGAGTATGGAGCGGACATTCTCTGTAATTAGTAGCTTTCACTTTTTGCTTTTGCAAAAAATACCTTATTTTCTCAGAAAAAGACTTAATAATAAGTATGTATCTCTAGCTGAGTCTCAAATTTAGTCTGAAGCAGGCATCCAGCATGGAAGGCTGCAGGTGTTTCAAGTTTGGCCAAGTTGTGTGCAGCTGAAAACCTTTCCATGGAAAGAATCGGGCAGCTTTTGCTATGTATGTCGTTGTCTGCTACTAAATTAGGCTCGTGTTTTTAGGGGTGGACTTTAAAAATCTGCTGTAGCTTTTCAAAATAAGTTCTGTAGGCTCTCTATTAAAATTGGCAGATCTTTCTGCCAGTACAGGAAAAACAGCCTGTATACAGCATTCATCTCTTAAAAACAGTTCTACTTCTAAGGAAAACTTGTAATAACGCTAAGGATTTCTTCATAAAACGTGATGCTGCTCAATTTGTCAGCCATATAGGCCTGTTCCTGTCTAGTTATTTCAGGCAGTTCATGTCTTTTCAACACTGGCCATCAGAGGTGAAAGTCTTTGAGCTCTGTGTTAAAACAGAAGCATAACTTGCTTAAAATCTGGTGTGCATTCCAGTGTGGAATTCACACTGGATGGCCAGTGTTGAGAAGTGATTAGCTGAACAAATGATGTTTCCGTTTTAACAAGTAATCCTTCATAGGTATTTCTGTGCCTCTGAGACTTACTGTGTTTGCCACCAAATCCTTGACTCACCAGGAGCAAACAGGTGGATGGGTAGAAGAACCTCTTTGCAGAACTTCTGCTCACTAAACAAGACTTCTCTAGTACTACTCTTAAGCTAAAAATAGGTAAATTTTAAGCATTCAAAGATAAATATTAATACCTAGAAATGGCTAGGTATCAGGACAGAAAATTGAGACAGATCTTCCTCTGTTTTGACTACTTGGGCACTCATTGAACTATGATTTGAACAGCACTTTTTTTAGTTGCTCAAATTCTTCCAAGGTTATTGAAGAACTGTCTCTTTTGAAACATCATCTAGTACCGTAGGTAATATTTATCTCTACTAAGAAATCTTACCTCTGTGTGTTTTCCCTGTTAGCAAGCAGATCTGATGTCCCTGGGGAAAGTTGTGTTGGCTTTGGCTTGCAATTCTTTATCAGGAATTCAGAGAGAGAATTTGCAGAAAGCAATGGAACTGGTGACAATCAACTATTCCTCTGATCTGAAGAATCTGATTTTGTAAGTTTTATTAATAAACCTTTTAAAGGAAATTACGACTTTGTTTAAACATACAAATGAAAATGTTAGATGATATTTTTTAGGTGCAAATAAGATTACAGATCTAACTGTCATTGAGTTCTCTGCGCAGTCAGTGCATCATTAAATAGTATAACAAACAATTTGTGTATTTTCATGGTGTATCTGATAAAAATCAATGCCCTTTCTTTACTAAGTTCTGTTAAAGCTCTTAATAAAAATCAGAAGCTTAAAAAAACAAGTATTTTAAGTTGTCTTCAATACTGGTCTTCATTGCGTATTTTCTTCCATAGCAATATGCTTGTCTTATCTTACAGTTTCAGAATGTGTTGAGAAATAGGTACATTGCCTTATTGACCAAAAGGTTGAGGTTTTTCTTAGCTGCATGTTATTTTGTAGTGTTTTTTAGTATGGCCAATCTTTCTCCTCTTGCAGCCTAAGACGGAAAAGTAGAAATCTGCCCCCTCCCTCCTTTGAAAAACAATTGCATGACAATCAGTCTTGGTGTCTTCTCTCTTTTTGAGTGTGTTCTTGCTGTTTGAATGGATTAACTATGCAGCTCCATAAAAGTACATTTCTATCTTGTATAAATAACTGACTGGAGATATATATGTAAGTTAACACATTTTCTCTGTTAATATCCTTTTTTAATAAATGCTACAATTGTAAGCTTTGTGTATTAAATAGGCATTCAGGGACAAATAGTTATAAAGTCATAATAGGACAATTTCTGACATTTGCAACATCTTTAAGTAATCTTGTTGGGGCTGGGGATATTTTGGCAGGTATCTGCTGACCGACCAAAACAGGCTTCGCAGTGTAAATGATATCATGCCTATGATAGGTGCACGATTCTATACTCAGTTGGATGCCGCTCAAATGCGAAATGATGTTATAGAGGAAGACCTCGCAAAGGTAAATAATTTAATTCCTAGAGGAAGACCTGTAGTTGGTATTCCTACAGCTTTACCTTAAGATGGAATGTTTTCTACTGGTTTGGTGTTGTCATCCCTCCTGTCTTATTTTTTCCTTTTGTTTGTTTAGCTATCTAAGTAATCTGCCTGCAAACTTGAGAACTCTGAGCTCAAAGTATTGAAAGTCCAAAAGCTCCAAGAACCACTATTTTTAGGATGACCTCAGCTGGGCTTTAACTAAAGTAACAGCTTCATGTCCAACCAGCAGTCTTGGGAAAAAGATGTTCTTTATGGAATGGTTAAAAAGTAGTATTCTGAGTAAATAATGTCATGTTTGTCATCACACACTAGATCATGTAATTTGTGCTGGAGGTTATAAAGAAACAAATTTTGCCTTTAAATTCTTGTGTGGATTTGGATTCCAGTGTCCCTTCATGTATCTCACACGTTTTCATTTCCAAATGAATGCTAGATGACGGAGGTAAGGCCTGCCATCCTCGGTTTCCCTGAAGTGTGCACCTCTTGCTGTGTGGGTCTGGTTAATCTGTCGAGCAGTCAAGATGTCAAGTGCTAGTGACAAGCCACTGTGTGGCCAGCAAGAAGGGGTATCTGCTCATCAGAATGAGAAACCACCGAATGCAGGATTTTCCGGCAAGACTGAGATAAATTACAGAGTGCTTTCATGATGCTTAAGTTGTGTGGGATAGGGTGTTAAGTTTTTAAGGATTAATGACTGACTCTTTTCCATTACATGCCCTTATTGAGAATCTTTTTTTTTAAGAGGGAACAGACCAATGACTGGGATTCTGCTGGACTGGAATTCTCTTAAATTTTCCCCCATTGGCTTGTTGGATAATTGTTTTTTCCCTCCTTAGTGAAAGATACTGAAAACTATCAGAAGCTAAGAGCTGTTTAAGAGCAAGGTGTTACCTACTTTGAATGCAGAGCTCTAGATGACTGGTGCTCACTCTCAGTCAACCACTACTACTCTGAGCACGTTCAAGATCATTTCTTGTTAAGGTGGCCTGATGTGCCTGCAAAGCTTTGGGCAAGTGGACCTTTTCCCATAACAAAGATAGAGGTTGTCCTGCTGTCAGCATGAAGCAGTCCACATTTCCAGTCAGGTTGTTTGTAGCAGTTGCTTAGCACTGGCAGGTGAGCAGAGCCACTACAAATCCAAGTTGTTGCATAGCTCCCGGTTTGGCAATAGCTGTTTACCTGGCAGTGATAAATGGGAGTTTCTAATTAGCTGCCATACAATAACTTGTTACTGAGAATGTAGTAGTAAAAGTATCAGAGCTACAGTATCCCTTAAGTCAGCCTGGTATCCTTGCTTTCTTATTCCCCCAGAGAAGATGCTTAGGGGAGTGTGTTAGAACAAGACTAGCGCGTGTGACATATTTCCTCTCATTCTGTAAGCACACTGCTATCTGTAGTTTAGGGACTTCTGACTCTAGACATGGTTTGTAGGTAGTTAATAACTTTTGTTTTCTTGAAGTCATGTTTTGTTACTCTTGTAATGCTGATGTGTCGTGCAGCAGTGACCCCATTACTCTATCCCTTCCCTTGCTCATCTTAATATTCCTATCATCTATTTGTCACAGCATTCAGAGCCCCGGTTTTTCAAGGTCTCTAATCCCCTCTGTGGAAGAACTGCATGCCTTACAGGCTACCAAGCCTGCAGAGAAGCCACCTGGGGACTTAGTGCCAGTGTTGTTGCTCAGCTGTGTCATCACTGACTGGGAATCTGCAAGGCAGTGGCATTCACACAGATGTGGTTATGGCTTTTGTGTATTTGACCACATCCCAAAAAATTATTTGGAGGTTGCATAGACCTCTGCTAGCTGGACAAGGTAAATCTTCCTTGTCAATCTCTAAGTTTAGCTACAACAGTGTTAGAAGCTGTTCTGCTGTGTGTTTAGACTGGTAATACAAGTCCTGAAATCTGTAGGTTCTCTGAGGTCAAGCTATTATCACCTTGACCTATTTTATTTACCCAGCTGTGCACAGTAATCTACTCCAGACTGAATTCATTTGAAATCAATATGATCATGCATGGAATGAGACCAGCTTAGCATGAATAATGTTGGAGAGCTGGGCCACTGGAGAATATGAATAATATCAGGAGAGACTCTTTTTCCTGCCAGCTTTGAGCAGCTTTTACTTAAACAAAAGATTAATCCACAGTGTAATGTGAGCTAGAATGTAACTCTTCACTGTATCCTGATGAGGAAAAATGTATGAAATCAATTTTTCAATCACGTGTATTCTATGCATCTACAATTCTAATGTTTCCTTTTGTGTATGAGCTCATTCTCACTGCTTTATTCCTGTCACTGACAGGCAGAATTTATACTGTTTTAAGAGTTAAATTTTAGGGTTTTTTGGAAAAAAGTGTCAAAATTATGTTCAGAATCTATTATAATTTGAAAGTTGGTCTGATGATATTGTTGCTGAGTATTTACTAGTAATGGCCTACAAATAGTTTCTGGAAAACAAATCTGGTAGATGATGTTCCTTCTCATCTTTACCTGAAATAAGGTGGTATACTGTATACTTCTACAGTTCTTAAATTGTGTGAATATATATTAATGTTGTTCTTGTTTTACTTACTGTATTCTAGCATACATTTAAATGTAGCCTGGCAAGAGACTAGACTTGTTTCCACAAAAAATAGATTGCCTGATCTTTTCTGAGGCAGATAGGTGTTAAATCTCCACAGTATAATTTCAGTATAAAGTGCCCAAATGATCATTGGGCTAGTACACAATATAATGCATTTGATCTCTTTCTGAAAAAATATACCTCCTTAGAATAAATAATTCACTGTACTCACTAGTGCTTTATTGGCATTTCTACTGTATATCTTTTGAAATAAGTGTCTTAATTTTATGTTTCAGAAACTTGAATAACCTCTTTCTTGTTTTCTAGGAGGTGCAAAATGGAAGGTTGTTTAGGCTTCTAGCAAAATTGGGAACAATCAATGAGAGGCCAGAGTAAGAAATACTTGTTTTCACAGTGAAGAGTATGTAAAACCCAGTTTCCAGTGCAAGGTTTCTTCCCTCATAAATATAAGCTAAATGTTTTCCCCATATTTGCATCTGAAGAAATGAATATTTAAGAAGTCTTGAAAAATGAGATAAGCAACTTTGGTCAAAATTTTAAATACAGGAGAAGAGAAGGCTACAAATAGATATGCCAAAGTTGTTTTGGTGGTTCTTTTTTAGTATGGTTTCTCTTAGCAGTCTTTGGGGAGTGACAGTAGAATTGGAGGAAATGCCTAGCTTGCTTTAACTGTAACAAATGGTATAGATACTGGATTTAGGCTAGTTAATTTTCAGCTTGTTTTTTATCAACTGCTACGTAAAAATGAAGTGTTCACAGTCTATTTTCCATCCTCTTGAATAGTCTTGGAGTTGTGCTTGTAATGTTGTTTTCAAACTTAATGTTAAACTTGAAGATAACTCTTGCTTTCTTCCATTACTTTTCTTTGGCCCTTGGTAGGCATTAGCTTTGGGTACTTCAGCTGAGAAACCTTGAGTATGTTACCTTCTGTTTGTGGCAGTGGGGAGACTGTAATTTAATTGCAAATTATAACAGGTTGCTTAGCAGAGCAGTAAGACTACTCAGTTTAGGTAGAAGTCATGTATACACATGTGGGTTTTGATTTTTCTTAACTTTCTGAGCTTTAATATGAGCCTTTGTTTTACTCCAGGTTTCAGAAGGACCCAACGTGGTCAGAAACTGGAGACAGGTATTTACTAAAGCTCTTTCGAGATCACCTTTTCCATCAGGTGACAGAAGCGGGTACTCCTTGGATTGACCTCAGTCACATTATCTCATGTCTTAACAAGGTACACGGTACTTGGGTTAGCTTTTAAAAAATTTTCTTGGGTTAACTTTCTTTAAAGTAATATTCCACTTGAAAGCAAATTGGCATTGACAGGTTAATTCTGTTGATTTAACTAATGGTTATTTTCCCCCTGTTTTGGATGAAAACGATGTATTCACCAAGCTAATATTCAAGCACTTATGGATATCTTAAATAAACTTAGTACCTTACTATTAAAACTTGGAATTTGGTAATACAGCATGAGATACAGTATTAACTTTTCATCCTAGAATGCATTGAATATTGTGGATAAGCAATGCTGGTCCCTTTATGCTACTCTGGTCTTTCAACACAGCATAAAGGATCCATAAAACCTCTTTAACTGGGGAAGTTTCTGCTGATACATCACAGAGGATGGTCATAAGGCAAGAGGATCCATTCCTAAACTGTGCTGACCAGAGTAGGAGACGAGGGAAACTGCAATAGAAATGTGTGCAAAATCCTTACTGCCTAGGACAGTGCTGGAATTCCACCTCTGATAACTTTCCTAGCCTCTCCAGCCCTTTATTTTCCAAGGTTGATGTAACAAAGCTATTTGCAGTTTTCCAAGAGCTACACCACTAGCAAAATTTTAGCTGAGCACTCTCATGATTAAAAGCAGGAGACGTGTGAGAGACCACAAGATTTTAGCAGTTGTAGAACTTGTCTTGCTCCACAAAATAAAAAAGTAGTCGAGAATTATTTTTCTTATTGGCAGATCAGCTTTCAACTTATTTCATATTGTTTTGCAAATGTCAGTAATTCATGGGGAGACTATGGTTCTACTCTTTTTTTTCTTTTTTTTTAATATCTGCTTGGTCATTCACTCTCTGTAGATAATGGTGAGGCAGACACTGAAAATATACCATTTCAGTGTCTGGTACTTTCTTTTCTAGGATCAGGACAGCCAACTTTCTCTTCCAGGAAAAAAAAGATAATATATTCAGATCCTTTGACGTGTAAGAACTGACTTAACTACAGTTAAATCTTTTTTTTTTAAATTGTCAGGGTTTTTAATCTCCTATTAGACCACTGCTGTGCATTTCTTTAACCTCCTTTTTATCTTTCTGGTTGGTGTCTGTAATCACTTTAAAAAGGACATTAAAGGGATTGAGGCTAAATCAAAAAGAAAGCATGTTGATATTCAAATAGGCAGTGAAATGCCATCATGAGTTGAAGGCAGTGACCTGTACAGTACTGTAGCAAGAAGGGACAGTCCTGAATTCGTAGGTCAGGTAAGAAATGGTGTCAAAGAATGCCTTGTTCTATAAATGTTCATGGCTTACCTTGTTAAACAGAGACTCTTCTCTTCTGTGGCTGTGGGCTCAGCACACAAAAAAATGTAAGGCTTACAGAACTCTACTTTGGAAATACACTCTAAAAATTGTGCACTAGTAGAAGTGGTTATTTGGGCTTTTCCACATTCCAAAAGCATTCCTTTGGAATGAAAATTATTCTATTATTTTTAAAAAAATAATCTTTTTTTCAATGTGGCTTTTTGGGAATTTCTTCAGTAGAAACACTGATTTATGCTTCCACAGGAGGAGAGAAAGCAAGCCATAAATATTGATGTTTCTAGTTAGCTGTATGACTTCCTTATTACTGATCTTCCATATCCTACAGTAATTGAGTTAATCCACTGATTTTTTTTTTAAATGATGCTAATGGAAACAGTAGGCAGTATTCACAAACACCTTAATCATGGTAATATTTTGTAATGGATGTTGGAAGAGACTGGTGGTTTTATCCAACACTACAAGAATTAAAAGCTAATTGGCTTGCTTTTGTCCTTCTGAAGCTATTCACAAAACAGGCACTTTAAATTTGGGGGCTTCCAGCTTTTAAGGTTATGCTCAGAGTATTATTCTAGAAGACAAGTGCAAGAAATTTCTAACTTGTTGCTCCAGAGGGCAGCTAGTGGAACATCTCTGTGACAAATCCAGTTGTTCCGTTACTCAGTACAACATTATAATACATTTATTTAATCCTGCTGGGGTTGTATTTCCAAAGATTGTCTCAATAGTGTCATATTCCACTTGTCTATGTCCCATCTTCTGAACTGGAACAAGAAAGTTTGTAGTGCCAAGTATTTGGAAATTGTCAATATATTGACTGAAACAGAGCTACAAAACTTTTATAAGAGTCTGACAGATCTCTATTGATGATGAAGTAAGGAGAATGTAAGATGTGCAGTGTTGGAAGGGACTTGAGCATGTAAAGTTGGATCTTCCTCTGTTCCGCATCGGGATTTAGTGGTACATCTCTAAAGTACATAGTGTAACATACATTATTTCTTTTAATATTGAATTTGAAAAGGGAGAATAAAACATGAGAATAAGTGTGGAACAGACTTTAACACCAAATTATCTATTTGTTATGGATTATAACTAGGTAATTATTTCCTTTAGAGTAAGGGCTGAAACGTGCCATACAGCTTAGGAACAAGTTTGTTGCCAAATATGTGAAGTTTGGGTTTGTACCAGTTTTCAAAGTACCTGGGGCTGGTCCATCCATTATTTCATTGTAGAGTGGGCAAGAAGTAATTTACCTTATGAGGAGGCTTGTGGATGTTATGTGCAAATGTAATGTCAAGCGTGGTTTTGCTCACCAGGAGCGATACGGTAATGATGCTAGGCTTTCTGCCCAGGGGAGGGCAACGTTGCAGGATGGTTAGCTTTGTTGGAAAGGGAAGAAAACAATGGTAACCCTGCCCAAAGGTCTGGAATGTCCATCAGGTTAAGACCACAATGTCTCGATTTCTTGGCAAGTACGTTGTTGCGGCACGATTCGGATCCTTCCGTTCAGTGGCATTTGCAGGTTTGAGCTGCACCACAACAACGCTACTCGCCAAGAAATTGATTGCTTTTGTTATTGGGGAAATGTTTTGCCATTTCTTTCACACTTCTTTTATTTTATCTTTTGCATTCTTGTTACAGTTAGATGCTGGTGTGCCAGAAAAAATAAGCCTCATTTCCAGAGATGAGAAGAGTGTACTTGTGGTAACTTACAGCGATTTAAAACGCTGCTTTGAAAACACTTTTCAAGAACTGATTGCAGCCGCAAATGGTCAGTTGTAGTATTTGCTGAAAGCATGCAGGACATTGCTGAGGAACTTAACCAATAGCAAATTGCACTACAGCTGAATTGTTGTTGTCATCTCATTTCACATTTGGGAAACAAACAGGAGATGAGCAAAGCTGCTTGCACTTCAGTCAGGTACACTGTTACTTGAAGGGAAGAATGTTTCACTTATCCTAGAGCTAAGGCTGCCATTGGAGGCTTTATCTGTGAAGAATTTATTTTAGATTAAGGAACACATCAGGTGCATGATGTTCCTGCTTTTATTTTTTCCACTTGTATATGCACTAATTTTAATTTTTTTAAGACTTTTCTGATCTCTGAAGTTTTGCCACATTGTATACTTAAGGGAAACTCTTTGCAAGGACATTTCTGGGATACATTTTTGTCACTGAGGATATAGCGAAATTTATTCATTTTTGATATTATTTGCACCCAGAATAGCATAAAGGACCAGGTAAATAATTTAATAGAAACTGTGTTCTATTAATGACCGTTTAGTTCGTAACCTCTGTGAAAGTGTGTTGTATGCAAGCTCTGTATGCCACCCACTGTTAGCTCAAAAAAGACATGTGAGAAGACAAAACTTTTCAAAACCGGTCAAGCGAAGTATCGGTGAATTGACAAAAAAGGAAAGTAAGTCCCCTGTCATTTGATTTAAACGTTGTCTAAGCGAAGTGACGAAAATGGCAACACGGGAAACATCTATAATTTAAGGAGCATATCAAACTTGCTCTAAACACAACCAGCGCCTTTTAAAAACTGTTTGTACGTTTTCCTGCTAGTCAGAAGCATTTACATTTATGCAATTTTTTTAATAGATTTTTTTTTTAAAGAAATTGTTTAAATGCCTGAAGTTTCAGGAGTGTATTACTTTAGGTTATTTACAGTATAATTTTTGTATAAAGTTCTGTTCTTTGAACCACAGCTTTATTATGGTACGCTACACTGGATACAGATACAAAGACACTGTTAAAAAGAAGATTAACTAAACACAGCAGTTGTCTGGCATCAAGAGCTTTTCAAGTTTTACAGCCTGAATCTGGAGGGATAATAATCTGCTGTGCCTTTGCAGTCACTGCTTAGCCCAAAGTAATATTACTTTTGATAATACTCAACACATGAATATTCCTGAAGTAATTCAGTCTCAAAAGTCTGGAATTTTCCTCCTCAATTACCTTTCTAATATTTGGACATGCAGTTGTCTCCAAACTTGGGTATTCATGGGATTTCTAGTTAAACACCTACACTTTGATACTGAAGACTGCCAAATATGTAGGAATTTCCTTTCTTAAACCAGTAGTGAAGACTGTATCTAACCTTTTCCCAGCACTGAATGTTTTAATAGCACTGGGTGCTCACCATGAAGAAAATGTGGAAACTCAAAAGGTCAGGACAGACTCTAAGCACTTGCAACTGATGTTACTGACATCAATTTTAATAATTCTCAATATTTGTAGTTTTCAGAGAAGTTTTTAATATTTCTCTGTCCACTTTTATAAGCTTTAAAAAGATTCTCCGCCTTGAGACTTGCATCAAGAAAAAAAGCAACTCTCTTCACATCGAAAGCTTTGAAGACTAGGGACATGCTTTACACATTTTAGAAAATGTGGTTGAATCCACATGAGGTAGCATCAGTTGTTGAGTTTAAAAATCGATTATTGTTGCATTTGATCGAATGAATTTTAAAAGGAACATAATGTTTAATATTCAAACGATAACAGTTGCCAGAATGTTCTTTTTAATATAAAAGGAACAGGAACTTTGAAAAGTGAACATGCAAAACAGTCTTTTATCATTAGCTCATGTATTTGAGGAAGAGCAGCTGTCTTTTATATGTTTTTTGACAAATCATATTGTAATTCTTTTGTACAAAAAAGAAGTACTTGTATTCTAGAAGAAATATGAAATGCTTAATTTATAAGCGGGCTGAGGTTTTTTCCAGTATTGTTTTCTTTGAAAATGAAAGGGGATCATCTGTTCAGTTGTGGGGTTTGGGAACCTTTGAAAATTTAATTTGTGGACCAATATTTTGTGAAAGTGTAAGGCAGGGGTAAAATAGGGCTTGAATTCTTTCTCATCCTTTTTAGACCAGCAAACTCACCCTCTGCAAGACATGTCTAAATTGCAAACCTGTGTGTATTTGCATAATGTCAGTTTGCTTCAGCCCCTAGTAACCTCAGGACTTGGTTTAAAAATAAAAAGGTAGACAGCTAATAAGTTTTCATACATGTCAGCCAGAAAATATTTGGTGTCAGGTAATACATTAAAAAATAAAAAAAAGGTTGAGCTTTGTTTTCTATTTATTTCATTTGGTCCGTATTTGGGAATGATTTGAACAGTCTGAAGTTCAGCTTGGGTGTTTTTTTGGGGAGAGCCCTTCTACCCCATTTTAATTCCATTTAGAAGGTTGTCCTAAAGTTGTAGTTTGATCCATTCATCGAAAGAACTTGTGTATCTGTATTTAAAAAGAAGAGCCACCAGGATGTGCCCTCCCAGATGGGAAGTTTAATTCTGACCTTCCTATTTTTTTTACAGCTAAAAGCACAGAAGGGACAACCTTTGAAATCATCTGATGTTGGTCATTTTAATTTTTGTACCTGTTTTAAATTCTGTTGCTGTATTTACTATATTGTAAATATTTTGTTGAGGGTACCTATGTATTTTTGATTTGCCCTTGTTTCAGTAATTCAGGTGTCAACTGCTTCCCCTAAAAAGCACCAGTATGTTAAGTTCTAATGTCATGATCCCAATATGTGTTACTCATCTTTAATCCTGTTTTCATTCTTCATGTGTACAGCAGTATTTTTAATAAAGAATACCAGAAATAATGTGGCCTTATTTTGACAACGTGCAGTTCTGAAGCTGGGATACAGGGAAGTGCATTTCGTTCTGTCATGTTTCTTTTGTATTCACCCTGTTTGCAATGCAGAGTTTAAACAATCCTGAGCATCACAGTGTGTTTAGTGCTTGCCACTTACACTGTATCAGATGTCCTAAAACTGATGGATGTTGTGTGGTAGTACAAGTTCTAGTCAACATTTCCTTAACTCCCAAGTCAAGTCCCATCTGCTTCTGTCAGATCACATCTGCTCTATTAGACAAGCCCTGATTTTGCAAGCTCTGTTAAAATACCCTTACTTGCATGTTTATTGAGCTTCTTTGCCCAACAACAAAATGTATTAATTTCTCTGAGAATTTGTATGTGGAGCTATGACAGCTTCATTTCCTCAAATGGCTTTTCCGTATTGTTAACCAGCAAAGGTGAGGTGATTTACTGGTGGGGGTGAGGATGTGGAGATTCTCTGGAGAAAGCATCTACCAGGCCTAAGGTGCTAGCTCGTGTGACAGATGGTTCAGAACAGGCTTTGTCAGGGACTCTTTGTCTCTGATTGCTCTTCTTTTGTCTTGTGCCAGATCTTCAAGCTGCAGGGGGCACAAGGGGCGGTTGAATTGGGTGTTCGTCAGTGGGCTGCTTTGTCTTCCCCCCACCAAGAAACCTTGCTTCTCCCAGAGCTGAATTTTCATCTCTAGGCAGCAGTAAGCACTTCCCCTAGATTCAACATATCTAAGATGTCACTCCCACAGGGAGCGGTATGAGTCTCCGTCGCTGCACCTGCTTTGCTGTGAGAAGTGTGCCTTCTGTGCAGTTATTCCGTATTCTTTGCTCGCAAAACTGGCCCATGGGATGGACTGTTTGCCAGATGTGTTAGTGCTGCCCAGTTCTGATTCATCAGCTGCAGCAGTCTCTGACGCTGGATTAACTCGTTGGGCGGAATTCTGTGGATTCTTTCAAAAGCAAACTTTATTATATGCCTCTAGCAGTCAAATACATTGTAGGAAGACAGAAAATGCAAGACAACGAGTTATTCACATCTGAAGAAACTTAGGGGGTTCATATAAAAGTAATCTTTTAGTCTGGTTTTCTTAAATACTTAGGCACAAAAAGCATATTTATATATATACACTGTGCAAACATTTCCTTTGAGATGCATCATCCCCCAACTGTCTTTGAGTTGGAGCTAGCAAACAGTTCTTAATTTCCTTTTGTTTTGATCAAGATCAAATATACTTTACAGCAAGAGACAGTGCAGTAGGTACTTAAAAGTGGTGATCACTTGGCCAGGAAGATGTAGAATGATACCTGGCTTAGAAGTAGTGGTACATATTTCTTGAATATCCAAGAACATTTTTCTTTGTAAGTACGCAAAAGGTCATTTTCCTTTAAGTCTGTTAGTTAAAGTCATAGCTCCTAAGCTGAGTTTTAAGAGGTCAGAACCATATTACATGTAGCATTTTAATTAATACGTATTTGTAGTGGACCATGAGAAGCTGATACTGGGCAGTAGTTACTGCTTTGGAAGACATCAGCCCTACTGTGTTCAATGGCCAACTCTCATTTTCATATTGCATGCAGAGGTGAAAGGGGATGGTGCATCCTTATGCTTCTCGAACGAAGAGCGTTCATGCCCTTTCTGAGATGCTATACAAAAATCTGTTGCAAATGAGTAAATACATTTTTATTCCTGTACATACATGCTGGTAACTAACCTGGAAATTCAACTGTCTTCATAGAAAAGCTGGCCTAACTTTCCAAGGAGAGTGTCTTGTCATTCCTAACTAATCTCTTCAAACTCTCTAGAGATGAATTAAAGTGTATGTGGTTTAGTAGCCATCCTGTCTTTTCAGATGGATTCCCATAAATAAAATCAGTGCAGCGTTAGAAGGGCCACGGGGTTTTGTGGACAGAGCTTGGCTTTAACTTCTCTAGCTTGTGGTTTGGTTCCAGTGTGTGTGTGTTGGCATACTGAGAAAGTGCAAAACGTCAAGAATATCTACTTGATTTCAGCAGGCGTGTCCCAGCCCGATTGGTCTGCATAACCTGGCGTCGCGGCCCTGGCTCTGAGCTCAGCTCTGTGCGTGCCAGTTGTGTTGTGCAACACAGATTTGAAATTCTTGCCTCGCAAGACTCCTTACGGCGCGTGCCACCCGGAGCAGTAAGTCTGTACGTAATGCCCCATCCCCTTCCCTGGAGCATTAGCCTTTCCTCAGGTTTGATTTTGGAGTTTTCACTAAAAAATGTAGGTTGTGGTCTCTTTCTTGCTTCTTTGTTCTTGAAGAATCCTTTATTTTCCAGCACTAAACAGGCCCCAGCAATAGGGTGCAAATGCCCTGGTGCCTCACGTGGGCTCCCGGCTGCCTCTCCCCACCGGCACGCTGGTGCAGCACCCGAGTCTGAGCAGAGGCTGAAACGCCATCCTGCTGCTGGGGGCCAGAGTGAGCTGGGTTGCTACGCCAAAAGCACCATCCAGGCTTTCAGCAGCCCTGGGCAATTTTAGTGGCAGCTGTTGGTGTTTGTTTGGGAAAGTCAAGGCTTAAGCATTAGTACTTTGCTGTATTTTGCTATATTTTGTATACGCTTGTTGCAGTCTGTAGAAAAGCAGGTCACTGAGATTAAGCCCGTGGTATCTCTTTAAATTTTAAGATAATTAAAATAGTCGGGTCAAAGTTTTTAAACTTGACAAGGTTTCAGAAGAACCTTTCTGGATTAAAGGTGTATTTAAATCTTGGCCTAGAGGTTACTTAAACAGGTGGCTGAGAGTAAAGGACCACGGAGCTGTAGTCAGGAGGGGGAGAATGGCACGCCTTCATTTTCTCCAGCACCACGTTACCGCATGTGTATCTTCGCTTGGAGTCACTGAGCTGGTCACAACTGAAACTGCAGAAGCTTCTGGGGATGGTTCTTCCAGAGAGCACCGAGTCCTTGCTCCTGCTGCCACCTTTCACGCTGTAACAGAGCATCGTCACTGTTAGCATATTCTACATGTATGGGGGTTCATTTTAATGACCTAAGCAAATCTGCCTCACAAGAAGCAGCTTTGTTTATTCCCAGATGGTGGGAACGGCACTGATGCAGATGGGGTTGCTCCGTGGGAGAGCGGAACAGGGGACTGAACAAGCCCTCCTGTGTCCCCCTCGAGTCCCCTTCTGAACAGAGATGCTGTGACTGAGCAGCGCTGTTATGCTGCTTGTGTTTGTTCGAAGTACTAGAGTCTGGATGCGTACTGGGACTGCTCAGTCCCTCAGCCTAAGCTCTAATTGCTCGTTTGTGGTAGGTGCTAGGGAGTGAAACTTCACTGCAGGGCAGAGCAGTGTGGGGTGACTGGCATCTCTGCTGTTGCTGGGCTGTGAATCCCCATAGGGTCCCCACACTTAAATGTTCATCCCAGGGGGACTGGGGTGGTTTCTTTAGAGCAGGAGAGAAGTAATGAAAGGTCTCAAGCCTTGGGGCAAAAGCAGACAGCTAATAGTGTAGGTGTTCCCAAAGCCTAGTGCTGGGATGAATTTTTAAGATGAACAGCTGATGTTTGTGAGGAAGGGCCCAGGGTCTGGGTGTCTCCTCTCTTGGGCTTCTCAGCAGCAACGAACTGCTAGTTTGAATTTTTCCTGTCCCACAAAGGAGCAGTTATCCTGTAGGCTGCATTTTACAAGATGCCCTTTACAAGAGGGACTTAATGTCTTCTCAGCTGAGCTACTCTAAGGCACTGATTGCCTCGCAGCACCTTCTCACCCGTATTCAGAGAGCGCAGTGCTCAAAAGAGCTCTTCCAGTAACGAAGCGAGTTAAGGCAAAGAGAATTTTCACACCACTGAACTTGAATACCAAAGATTTATCTGTAGACAAAGGACAAGCCAGAGCACTTTCCGTCATTATTACATGTGAAATCCTAATGTAAACAGATGTTTAAATTAGATTCCCTCTCCTGTATTTTTGTAAATTGATGGACGCTCCACCCCTCTCAGTTTATAAGGTCAGGAACATTGGCTGTCCTAGTCTTGAATTCCAGAGAAGACAGTCAGAACATCTGTTGAGGCTTTTGGAGCCCAGGGTTTTGCTTTTCATTTTAATTTGCCCTGTTAGATCATGAAGTGAAGCGCAGAGCTAGTAGCACAGGGCCTTAAGAAATGGAGAACTAACAGTTTCTCTTAGATTTCATGGCTTCTTAAATCTTTAACTCGCAAGCCTATGTGCTTTTTAAGGAGTGTGATCTGTCTTCTGTCCTACTGTAGGAAATTGGAGGGTATTGCCAAGAAGACCTACCCATTACTTTTGTTTGTAGATGGATGGAGTTATGAGGAGGATCCCTTCTGATGGGGATAGCAAATCCATCCCGTGTTTTTATACCACATCTGTTGGCAGATAGAGAAGTAATTACCTTGGGATAAATTCCATAACAATGTGACAAGGTTAAGTCACAGGCTCAGTGGACGTTTTGTGATTTACACTGTAATTGTGATCCTTGGAGAGCAGCGGGCTGGGAAAAGCGGAGTGTGCATGCAAAATTACAAGCCTTAAAATCATCACGCTTTGATCCTTTCATTCGTTGTCAGGCTTTTGCATGCTGAGAATTTCTGTGTGAGCTAGACTTGGCTTCTGCTTTAATTAATGAACCTTTACACCAGTAGAGCTGCATCTGTTAATTTTACCTTGAGTGTGCTGCTGTACCTGGGCATACACCCTCACATAGAGCTTTCAGAGAGCCCACGGGGTTTTGGCATCCATAGTCAAGCTCATTTTGAGGCTGGGCTTACAGTCAGTAAAGGTTTCTCTAGCTGTGGACTGTCTTCTTTCCACTTTAGGAATCTAAATTAGAAACTGTGTCGAGTTGGTTATTAATTGGGAAAACTTGTTGGAGGAAACGGCTCCTGCTTTCCTGACAGATTCATGAACGGAGTGAGAGGCTGGCAGCGGCTCTTGAGGTGCTTGTTCCAGCTCACAAGCGGTGGAGTTCTCCCCTGTTTTTTTGTCTTAGCAATTTGCTTTTGA